AAAAAAAAAAAAAAAAAAAAAACAGAGGTTCTCAGCACAATGTCAAGCAAGTTGCCAAAGACTAGAAAAGTGACTACCCCTCCTAGGCAGGAAACACTAGTTTATTGCAAGCTATTGTGTTGTTTTGTTGCCCAAACTGGGGTGCAATATCATCATGACTATAGCTCACTGCAGCCTCTATCTCCTGGCCTCAAGTGATCCTCCTACCTCAGCCTCCTAAAGTGCTGGGATTTCAGGCATGAGCCACCATGTTGGGTCACGAACTATTGTTAGAGGGAATCAGATGCCTGTTAATTCTTCCTGTAGAAATGTGAAAATAACCTGGCTTACATTCAGTTAATAACCAGACTCTAGCCAGCCATGGTAGCTCACACCCCTAATTCCAGTATTCTGGAAAGCCAAGGCCGAAGGATCACTTGAGCCCAGGAGTTCAAGAACAGCCTATGCAACATGGCAAAACTCCATCTCTACAAACAATACAAAAGAAAAAGAAAAAAAGTAGCTGCAGTTCCAGCTACTTCAGAGGCTGAGGTGAGAGAATTGCTTGATCCCGGGAGGCAGAGGTTGCAGTGAGCTAAGATGACACCACTGCACTTTTTCTCAAAAAATAAAAATAAAATAACCATATTCCAGTGAACTAGTTTATTATTATCCTACACTGGTCAAAGGAAAAACCAGAGGTGCCATTTCTAAAACCACACAAAAAGTTCCATTGGCATACCCTACACCTACGGCCTAACAGGGCTGAGTCACAGAATGGTGGGCTCAGCTAGTCTGTATCTTCACCTACCATTGTGCTTTTTAGGTGGGTTCTAATGCCCTTCCATGTGTTCTGCCTGACTGTGACAGAGTTTTCAGCATCCAAATCACTTTGACTGCTCAATATAAATGGCATGTTCCACTCCTGGGCCAGATCTGAGAATTACTCAGAGCCTCCTCGGCTATAGTCTAGGAATCTGCATTTTAACAAGTCCCTAGGTGATTCTAAATGCTCATAATGAGACTAGCTTCCTGGGCTGATTCAGGGTATTCCCATACCCAAAATGATTCTTTAGTATTAATTTGCAAGGTTCATAAAACAAGGGTCCTGGTGTCATGTTTCCTGCTCTCTGACATCTGAGCCACTGGAACACCCATGCCCAGCCCTGGCTCACCTGAGGTCCCCACCCTGCCCCTTCAACTTGGCTTCAATCAACTCTTCACCACGGAGACACCAACTTCCTCATTTTTCTCGACGCAACTACGTATGTGACTCTGGCCACCAGTTAATTTTTTAAAGGAGGGATCACATTACTATACATTGTTCTCTTTTTCTAGCCCTGGGATTTCTGTAAAGAAAATAATATGCCAGGCAAGGTAGCTCACACCTGTAATCCCAGCACTTTGGGAGGCTGACGTGGGCGGATCACTTGAGGTCAGGAGTTCGAGACCAGCCTGGCCAACATGGCAAAACCCCATCTCTACTAAAAATACAAAAAAGTTAGCCGAGCATGGTGGTGCATGCCTATAATCCCAGCTACTTGGCAGGCTGAGGCAGGAGAATCATTTGAACCCAGGAGGCAGAGGTTGCAGTGTGCCAAGATTGCACCACTGCACTCCAGCCCAGATGACAGAGAGAGACCCCATCTCAAGAAAAGAAGAGAAGAGAAGAGAGGAGAGGAGAGGAGAGGAGAGGAGAGGAGAGGAGAGGAGAGGAGAGGAGAGAAGAGAAAAAAAAGACAAGACAAGACAAGACACTGGATGTTTTTTAAGCATAAGAGACTGTAAATCATGTGCACTGGACCAAACATAATCCCCTTTCTTCCTGTTAGACTAGTCCATAAACTACAAAATGAGGATTACTAGACAGCATAGATATTTCTGCATGCATATATAAGTAAAGAAATACAGCAAAATGAGCTGTGAAGTACAAATATACATATCTAACCCTATTTTCTCCTGCACTCCTCATAATATATCTTTAGGTATATTCATCAGTAAAATGCAGGAACTCACTCATAAGATTGCTACAAGAATGAAATGAGGCTGGGCACAGTGGCTCACACCTGTAATCCCAGCACGTTGGAAGGCGGAGGTGGGTGGATTACCTGAGGTCAGAAGTTCAAGACCAGCCTGGCTAACATGGTAAAACCCCATCTCTACTAAAAATACAAAAATTAGCTGGGCGTGGTGGCAGATGCCTGTAATGCCAGCTACTCAAGAGACTGAGGCAGGAGAATCGCTTGAAGCAGGGAGGCAGAGGTTGCAGTGAGCTGAGATTGCACCACTGCACTCCAGCCTGGGTGACAGAGGGAGCTCTATCCGGAAAAAAAAAAAAAAAAGAATGAAATGAGAAAATGCACATACAATGTTTAGTCTAGCACCTAACACAGAAGGAATGTGCCTAAGTCCTAACTGATATGATCAGGCCAGGGTACTTTGCATACATGCTCAGTGCTGTAAAGGTCTTTTAAATTAATTTACTCAAAACCTGCTTTTCTCGTGAGGAGACCAAAGCACTAAGAGTTAAGAGCCTTACCCAACAATGCACAGCTACTGGCAGAGCCAAAGCAGACACCAGCGTTTTCTAAAGCATAAGTCAATATTTTTTATACCACTCCATGATACTTTCGTTCATATCCCTAATTGAAATGTAGGACCAAGAGAGGCATAAGGTTCAGAATATGCCAGTCATCTATGGGTTATGCCTAAGCAGACCTGGAGGAGTAAATGATAGAATGAGATTGAGTCTGAAAGTAATTCAACTCTTACACAGCTGATTGTTTTCCTATTTTTTTTTTTTTTTTGAGGTGGTAGAGAGGGCATTTATCTCCCATCTTGAGTGGTTTCTTTTGTTTCTTTTTTGTTCTATCACTTTACTCCAGGAAGTACAAACAACTATTATGCAGTATTTAGGGTTTTGTCTAGTGAGAGTTAGCAAGGAACATAAAGGCATTGAAAAGATTTACATTTCTATTTGTCTAAAGGGGGAGAAGTGGCAGGAAATCCAAGGACAAGTTACTCTTCATGTTTGAAATATAAAGCTGGAAGTGTTATATCAGAAAGAGCAATAGATCACTATCATTTTTTAACTTTAAATTCCTTTTCTTGAGTCTGTGCTTAGGTACCTAAAGAGAAGTTGTATATTCTCGCCTACACATTGATTCTCTAATAATTCTCCACTCTGATCTATTTATAAAACTAAGAATAATATGCAGATGAAAAAGTCAGCGCTTGAGAAATGTAAGATTTTACTATAAATAATCTCTTATAGCGAATAACAGGACAATACTAGCACTCTTTGTTTGACATCACTTCAAATCTTTTATAGCCACATTGGCATTCTGTTCATGAAACACAAGTAAAGCGATGACTTCATTCCCGAGGATGAAGGATAATTGATCTTAACCTTCCTATCACTTTTTCTTAACTCAAAGCACTAATGCAATGGAAGGCACTGATAAATAAAATTTCTCCAGGAAATGAATGGCATTGTGACAGCTAACTTCCAAGTTACCTCCAAACAGTACGAAGTACAACATGATCCAGGATCTCAATTCAGGAAACCCTTGCCCCACAGTGTGAATGGAAAGCTACCAAAAATATTCTGTTGAAAAGAAATTCAAACTTTGGAGGATATTAAGTTTTTCTTCCCCAGTTTTTAAAGAAAAAAAACTAACTTCAACAAAATCCCAACAATTCAAAATGAAGCAATGTTCAAAGCTGGATTATTCATTTACATTAAACTTATGACTGTGATGCTTTTATTACCACAGTCCTAAAACATTTTGCCACCTTTATCTCCTGATGTTACCTACTAATCCTGATTTTTCACACATAACACATAAAGCTAAGTAATGGCTCTTGAAAGCTGTGTATGACTATATGGAGTTGCTACTTCACCAAGATAGTATCCCTGTCTCCTTTCCCTTTTTTTCCAGTCACTAATGATATTTACCATACTGAGTTTAAGTATGTAAATACGGCTGATTTGGGCCACATACTTTTGCCATACATTTTAAAATAGAAGTCAACAGTGAGATTAAGGCCAAAATTTTACCACATTTTTCCAAATCGGAGTCTAAAGAAATGAGGGAAGGTTATATTTGGTTGTCAGGTTAGATTTAACATTTCCCTTTCCAGAACAAGTAATTAGGAACTTTCTCTGCTCCTATGCTTCTTTAATGTAAATATGGTAACACTCTCAACGTAAGCTAATCTAGAGAACAGACACCCAAAGCACACTGTCACCCAATACACGAGTGCGTGCGCGGGCACACACACACACACACACACACAAACGCGCGCGCACACACACACGAGTAGCCAGAGGACAGAGCAGATCCAGAAACCCAGCTCTCAGCACCTGGCATGGAAACTGTCACCCTTGACAACCTTCACACAAGCACACCTGGCTGGCTTAGATTTGCAGCACCAGTACACCTTACTGGTAACCCAGCTGTAGCCCACCATCACACTCCACAAAGCAAACACACAACCGCACACCCCGTCACTCTCTCCAAGAGACCTGTACGCCGGCCCCAAGCCTCTGGCTCCGGGCCCGTTCGAAGTTGCCGCGGCCGCCCCGAGGCCACTCACCGTGTCTGCAGTCGCAGTAGCCCCAGTCCACCTTGCCGCGGGCGTCTCCGTAGAAGCACCAGGGTCTGCCCGCGCCGTCGGGGCTCCGACAAAAGTTGTGGCGCTGCCCTCGCAGCTGAGCCCAGCCCGCCGGGGACGACCGCTCCAGGGAGGGTGGCACCTCCGCCCACCGCAGACACAGGGCGCCGAAGTCCGTCACGCTGACCCACGGCTCGCCGGCGGGGCAGCCCCGGGGGTGCGGCCCCGGCGTGTGCCCCGCCTGGAGGGCGTGCGGGCGCAGGGCAAGGAGCGCCCGCGGGGGGCGCGGGAAGCGCGGGAGAGGCGGCGGCGGGCGCGTCCTCCGGGGCCGCTGCTCCGTGGGAAGGTAACGAGGGTACAGCGGACCCGGAGGGGGCGAATGGCGGTGGCGGTAGTGGAGGGAATCATTGAGGACAGACTCAAAACCGACCACTTCGGGGAGCGCCCCGAACACCAGGGCCAGCGCGAAGCGGGCGAGCGTCATGGTGCCAGCGCCGCGGGGTCTGGTCCATGCTCGCCAGCTTCTCGGGCTAGGAGCGGAGGAGAGGAGGGGGCGGGGGCGGGGCTGCCGCGTCCCCCGAATCCCCCAGCCTCCTCCCGCCCCCGCGTGCGGACCGCCTTCACCTCCCCACCTCGCCCCCCACCGCGGGTGTCCTGCCGCGCCTCGGCTCCTGTCCCCAGGCGGCGGCCGCGGGCGGGGAAATCTGGAGCTCAGCGGAGCCCCAGCCGGCTGAGAGGACGGAGAAAGGGAAGGTGCGGACCGCTGCGGGAAGTGGTGGGGCCTCAGCCCCAGGTAGCGGCACAGGCACGAGTCCGGGAACTCTGCCCCCTGGGGGCGGGCGCCGGCCGCGCAGGCTCCTCCGGACCTCCGCTGGGCCCCCGCCCGACCCTCCGCGGTCCGCCCGCGAGGCACTGCTGCCAGCTGCAGGGGCCGAGCCCGAGGGTGCCCGCGCGGGGCACGGTCTTGGCCGCCCCTTGCCAGAATGCGGCACCAGCCCAGCGTTGGCGGCTTCCAAGTCTGGCACCGGCCCCTGCGGTCTTCTCTCCTCCACCCTCGTCGTCCCGTATCTTGTTTCCTCTGTTTTGAAATCTTTAGCAAAGTGTGAATGGATTTAGATGCAGCTCTCCCCTGACAACTCCCAGGATAAAAGTTATCAAAGCCCACGAGGAATGTTAAAGCCGTTTCACTAAACTGTAAGCTCTTCAAGGACAAGACCACGTTTTATTCAGCTTGATATCCCTGAGCTTAACACCGTGCCCCAATCAACATTTGCTGAAATTAAATTCCTGAACCGACTCAGGGAAAGGAGCTTGAGCCTTTCTGCTTCCTGCCTCCCACTTTCCAGCCTGTGCCCTGGACAACAGCAGTTGTTTGGTTATTATTGGGATTCAGTCAGGCTCTCTTAATACCAAATTTCCTCTCTAACCAGAGAAGACTTCATCCGTCCCGGTCTCCATCCTATCCAAAAAATCCATCCCCGAACACCTGCCTCGGTTTTTGCAGGGCAAGGGACTTCACTTAAGCCTATTCATTTGCCTGTCCAGAGTGGACTCTGCCTGCTGGCAATTTTGAAGCTTCACTGTCGGCTCGACCTAGCTCAGTGAGGCCCTTTCAAAACTCCCCCCACTCCCGCAGGCTCCAAAAAATTGTTGGCTTAGATTTTTTTAAAAAAATCACTGGAGCTGGTTGTTTTAGCATTTTTCCCTTTCAGTTGTTTCTCACTATGCTACCAAACTTAAACAAGGAAAAGGAAGCCCGTAAAGAAGGTAACATTTTTTTTTTTTTTTCTGGCGTGGTCATGTTTCATTGTGAGAGAGCTGTCTCATAATGTACTCTGAAGAAAACTTGAACAAAATTCAGATGTTTATTGTTAAAACCTAGGGTTCAATTAGGAACTGAATTAATTCCCTACTAGTTTTAAATAAGCTACCTTTAGCCCGGCGAGGTGGCTTACACCTGTAATCCCAGCACTTTGGGAGGCCGAGGCAGGCAGATCACATGAGGCCAGGAGTTCGAGACCAGCATCGCCAACATGGTGAAACTCCGTCTTCACTAAAAATACAAAACTTAGCCAGGAGTGGCGGCGGGCGCCTGTAATTCCACCTACTAGGGCAGCTGAGGCACGAGAATCGCTTGAACTCAGGAGGCAGAGGTTGCAATGAGCCGATTTCGTGCCGCTGTACTCCAGCCTGGGCGACAGAGGGAGATCTTGTCA